CCCATTCATCATGAGAGGATGAGTCAATGAGACGTGAGTTGACTTGGTCTTCCTCAAATGTGATTTTGGTGTTGCTGTGAGGCTGGTTGGACTCACAAGGACCGTGGCTATTGGAACAAGCGATGGAATATTCCTCCAGTGAGTCCTCAGGTTCTTCCTTCTCTTCAGCCTTCTGCACCTCCCTGATGAGCCAGGTGGGAGAGAGATGTCAGAAGATTAAACACAGAGGGATCAGACCCCAGGGAGCCCTAGCTGGTTTTGACAGAAGGCATTAAGACAGTGGTCACAGAAAGCAAACAGGAGGTTCCCTTTAAGAGGGAATAGGCAATCGTCTTCTCTCTGCAACAGAGCATGGCGGCCATGGGAGACAGAGAGGAAGAGACCAACCGGTGTTCATTTCACTGGACAGATAGGAGCTGAGAAAGATGAAGACTCAGCTATCCCTGTTCGGTAAAGATATGACACTCACCACACACAGAGAAACACAACAGCTGCCACACCCTGTGTCTAAGCTGGGTTGAATTTCACATACTGTGGCCAAAGCAATGCAGGCTTTTGGCCCATCCTAGATGCCAGACAGGGTGTGCCTCCTAGATCTTTTTCCTATGATAAAACCCATTACTTGCTCCTGATTTTTCAGTGTTACCTGGGGGCACGTGATTCCTGTACTTTCTCAGTTTCCTCAACGTTCACATCTTCATCCTCATCTTCACCGTTTTCTGTGAATACAGAAGTGTTCCTTCAGATATTTCCCACTTCACATTATGCAGGCACAGTCAGCCCAATGTGCACATAGACATGGACATCTAGGCATGGGTCACCGTTAAACTGAAAGCTCTCATGTTTTATCTTTAACAAAATGCCCTGGCATGGTTTCCTGATCCATCAGGCAATGCATTTCTGATCTGGAGGGCTACCATCAAGATGTGGCCAAATATTGAAAAGACCCTTTGCTCCCCATATCACTGGGGACTTGTGCAGCCTCCCTCGGGACTTTGGCAGCTGTCTCCATCATCCCACCACAAATCTGATTCCCAGGCACAGGCTTGGTGTCCTGTCACAGTTCACATTTCAAACCTAATTCTTTCTCTTAGGAGAGGACAA